AGTCTTGATAGGTCTGGCCTTGTGAGGGCCCTCACTCCCCGACCCCATCCACAAGACATCCCCATTAAGAATAGAAGTCAGAGTTGTTACAATGTTACAACAGGGTTGTTACAAAGTTCCCGTTATCTTTTGCTCACATTCTTCTCTTTCTTAAATTTCATTTTTATTCATGAGACAGAGAGAGAGGCAGAGACACAAGCAGACAGAGAAGCAGGCTTCCCGCAAGGAGCTTGATGTGGGACCCAGTTCCAGGATCCCAGGATCCTGACCTGAACCAAAGGCAGATGCTCAACCACTGAGCCATCCAGATGGCTCACATTTTTTCTTGTGATCAACTTCCTCCACCATATTAGCTTCCTTCTCTTTCTTCCCTAGAATGCTTCCTCCTTGGGGCCGTTGCATCTGCTGTTCCCTCTGTCTGGACTTCTTCCCTCAGATATCCACATGGCTTACTTTCCCTCCTGCTTTGAGTTTTTAGTCCCTGAACATTGCCCTTAAATAAATATATTCTTCCTCAGTAGCTATCAGTTATTAACATCTCACTTTATATGTTATTTATCTTATTTATTATCTTTCCACTAGACAGTTCCATAAAAACATGATTTAAAAATATATGTATGTCACCATAACCCAAGTTCCTGTATCCCCAAGAGGTTGGGGTGATACTGACAAGAGGCAAGTCATTTTACTTTTTTTTTTTTTTTAAGATTTTATTTATTCATGAAAGAGAGAGAGAGAGAGAGAGAGAGAGAGGCAGAGACACAGGCAGAGGGAGAAGTAGGCTCTATGCAGGGAGCCCAATGTGGGACTCGATCCCAGGTCTCCAGGATCATGCCCTCAGCCGAAGGCAGGCTCTCAACCACTGAGTCACTCAGGTGTCCTAAGTCATTTTACTTGTACAGGTTTAAAACTTGGAGTCTTCCAAAGACAGGTGGAAGAGCAGGGCTAAAAATGTGAGAACTGTTGAGAGTCAGGATAGAAAATTGTTAGACTACTAGGTGTCCTCCTTTTTTTCCCCTGTGTATTCAGGTGATTGCCTTTCTTCCTCCCAGGATTTTCTTGAGGAATGGAGACTATCACGCCCTTCCATCACTGCATTCTGTGTTGGCCTCTATTATGTTGTAGCACCATCCTGAAATCACTTTTCTAACTGTCCATCAATGCCAAAAAAACATAAATTCCTTGAATTAAGGGATCAAACTTTTCCAGTGAGGTCTGTTGCCTCAGCACCAAAATCTGTTTGGAATGATAATCATTCCTTGTTGATTGATTTGCTTTAATGAATACTTCAAGCAGGAAATGAAAAGAACCTGAACAGGGTCACAAATGAGGAGTTAATGACCACTTAGAAATGAAGTGAAGGGAACTGTCATTCTAGAAAAACTCCCAGGGTTTTGATTGGCATGCAGGAGAGTCTGCAATGATTCCCTTGTGATTAACTTGGAGGTGGGATAAAATCAATGAAGATTTGTTGTTAGCCTGGGGCAAGCAGCTGGGCTGAGTTATTTTCCTATCCAGGTTATTACTAATTTTCTCATATAGAAATAGAAGCAAAGACAATAATTATTAGGATTCAAATAGTGTGTTGGGCTGATCAACAGCATTCATTTAAATCATGTTTTCATTTATTATCCCCAAACAAGGTCAAGTAGTTGAAACAATTATTGCTAGATCCAGGTTCCTTGCAATAGATAATATTATGTAAACTTGTTGGGTGTCAACATTCCTAGACTTTATAACACAGGAAATATATGAGAGTCTATATCCTTACATACTGGTTAGGGTCTCCAATTAAAATACAAGTGGCCCTATATTTCTTAATCCTTATAAAACCTGTTGATGCTATAACAAGATGGTGTTGGAAACTTGAAAGGAAATTTTACTGGGAACCAGATAATAGAGTACTTGATCTCACCTGCTAAGGCAGTTCTGCAGGCACATGAAGTAATTTTTGCAGGTTAGGCATGACTGGTAATAAACTTAATCCACAGTTGGGGTACCATGTGACCCTGCAGAACCCATTCTGATGCTGTAACATCATCACTAAGAACTTCAGCAAATACCACTAAGTGCAAACTGGAAAAGTTGTGCTCACTGAACTTCCTCAGGCTTGAAGCATAGAAGCAGACATCATCCTTTGTTAAGAAGATGTCCTCTGAGACGCCCGGGGGCTCAGTGGTTGAGCATCTGCCTTCAGCTCAGGGCGGGACCTGTAGTCCAAAATCCCATATCGAGCTCCTTACATGGATCCTGCTTCTGTCTCTGCCTCTCTCTATGTCTCTCGTGAATAAGTAAATAAAATCTTAAAAATAAATAAATAAATAAATAAATAAATAAATAAATAATGTTCTCTGAACTTTCCACATTGAAATATAATTTCTATAAAGATTTATAGATTAGTGCTCCTTTACCCAAAATCAAACCCAGGCTAGTAATTCACATTTCTTAATGGGAAATAAATGAATGAGAGGCTCCTAATTCTGATGTAACTAGCTTTACCAGGATGAAATAGATATAGAAATGGATAATAGAGGTAAAATATGGACACTTCAAACTGAGCTTTGACTACAGGCCGGAACAGTTCAGTTGATGTTCCATCAGTTCTTCCAGATGGTATTCTAAAAAGCCAATCCTACTCCGCCAAGCCTTTCTCCCTAGGGACAAGGAAGATGGGGAACTAAACAGCCAGGCCATCCACCCAAGAGGCAGCTAGTTAAACCACATCTGTCACTAGTCACACCCACCCTGAGCAGTCTGCCCAGCTCTTAAACATATTTAAATGGAGATGGGGCTGAGTAACTGGTATCACCTTTATCTTTGCATTCTGCTCTTAGTCCCAATAACAGGCTAATGTTCATTTCCTTAACTGCCTAACACCAAAAGTGCTTTATTATTGTTGAAGTAGGCACATGGTCTAAGAGACACTGAAACAGTTCTCTGCTAAGTCACCAAAGTGCGGTCAACAATTGTTCTAACCTTCCAGCAACCAGTCCAACACTGGCCACAGAAGAAAATATTGCGCAGGGCAAAAATTGGGGTAATCCTGAAAGCACTGAGTTTGTATTGCTAATGAGACATTCAGGAGTGAGTGTTCAGTCGGCACCTGGAGGACAGTCTGGGGAGTTTCAGAAGTACTGTGTTGGCAAGAGATGAAACTCTTTCTAATTCCCCAAGTTTATTTAGCTGCACAAAGGAAGAGGTTGACTACTCAAATGTACAATGTTCCTGCACCTGCACAGTGCTAAAGAAAGTGTCATAATTCATAACTTTTTCTTTCATTACACTCTAAACAAAAAAACCAACATTATTACATCAGAACTTTGTCACGTTATAATAAATTAGTTATTGCTAATCTAATAATTGCATCTAATGCTAAGATTTCAAAGGTGACAACCGTCTTATTAGCTATACATAGCTATTTGAAACCATAGCTCAGGATGCATAATTTCAGGAAAAATTTCAAGGGTATATTTTCTTGCACCCATTTTTTGACCAACTTTAATTAATTCTTAGTAATTTTTCTCAATGGTTTTGCCACTGCCTGATGCATTATGAAAATTCATTTAAAAAAATTAGTGAGGGATCCCTGGGTGGCGCAGCGGTTTGGCGCCTGCCTTTGGCCCAGGGCGCGATCCTGGAGACCCGGGATCGAATCCCACGTCGGGCTCCCGATGCATGGAGCCTGCTTCTCCCTCTGCCTGTGTCTCTGCCTCTCTCTCTCTCTCTCTCTGTGTGACTATCGTAAATTAAAAAATAAATAAATAAATAAATAAAAAAATTAGTGAATATGAGAATAAAAGATAACTAATTTTTTTCTCCAATTACAGGCTTCTTCTAGCATTTGCAACAGGACGTGTACATGCATAAACTAGATTTTGGGAATGGAGAATTAAAATCGGTAAAATAAAACCCTCTAAGGCAAATAATTTATATAATTTTTAACTCAAATAGTACCGGGAAAATTGATAATTTAAAATTATATAGGATTATAGATTATAGTAACATTTAAAGAAAGTTGTTTATTTTTTAACAATGAGACAGCAAGGGCACATAGGTGTATTTGCCTTCTGGTTGGTTCAAATTGGCTTTTTAAAGTTGGTATCAGGGTAATTCCTGCCTGTGATGGAAGAAATTGCAAGACTTACTTGCAGTTCTAAGATTTCAGTTCATGTAACAGTGTTTCAAGGTAATTTTTACAAATATTACAAAAACTGGGCAGCCCGGGTGGCTCAGCGGTTTAGCGCCTGCCTTTGGCCCAGGGCATGATCCTGGAGACCTAGGATCGAGTCCCATGTCCGGCTCCCTGCATGGAGCCTGCTTCTCCCTCTGCCTGCCTCTGCCTCTCTCTCTCTCCTTGTCTCTCATGAATAAATAAAATCTTAAAAAAAAAAAAAAACTGCTGAGAGACATTTCTTATGTACATGTTTTCTATAATGCTGATCATTATTAAATAATGTAGGGCTAAGGTGAACTATAGGTATAAGAATTAAAAAAAAAAAAGGAGGGGGCTCCTGAGTGGCTCAGTCAGTTAAGTGTCTGCCTTCAGCTCAGGTCATGATCCAGAGTCCTGGGACAGAAACCCAGTTCAGGCTCCCTGCTCCGAGGGGGCTTGCTTCTCCCTCTGCCTGCCACTACCCCTGCTGGTGCACACACACTTTCTCTCTGTCAAATAAATAAATAAAATCTTACAAAGAAAAAAAAAGAATTGAAGAAAAGGCTGAGGTGAAGTTAATGTTTTTAAATTGCAAAAATGTAAAAAAATAAAAAAATAAAAAAATAAATTGCAAAAATGTGAAGGTAAAAAAAGGAATATTCAGGAACACACAGTATATTTGGATCAAGCTGTATCAAGCAGTAATTAATTCTTCATGTTCATCAGGTGGAAATGGATTAATATTTGTATTTAAAACTACTGCATTGTGTATTTATAATCAAAAGTTAAATTCATTTTGATAAAAAATATCTTTATTATTTTAAACAAAGATCTATAAAGTGCCATGCAAACTGCAGAGGAATTATCTAAGCATAGCTTTTTCTACTGAAGTGGGTGGGTACCTCCCAATGAAGTTGCAGGATTCTTTTAATTAGTTTTAGTAAACAAATACTTCCATCATTTTAGCTTATGATGAACTACAAAGTTAACAAAATGTCCAAATAAACCATTAATTTTACATGTATTCTGTCTTCTAAAAATAAATGAACCAAAACAGGAAACCTGATTTGATAATAAATATTAAGTATCATATATTAATGAAATACCATTCTATTTATTGTTCATTATCAAGATTTAAGTATGTCAGATATACTATCTCAAACCCAGCTGGCAAAAGAGGTGGATAATAAATACCGTCATAGCCAACTAATTTTCATACAATTAAGCAAGAAGTGAAGAGGCAGGTATTCCTATTGATATACATCATATAAAAAGAGAAGGACCTAAAAACTAGTCCCATGATAATCATTTTTCCTTTGGTATCACTGTCACATATCCTCATTCTATGAGATAAACCTGTAGGAAAATAAGGCTCAGAAAAAACACATTTGGACATAAAAAATAAAATGTTATTCATAAAGGAAACTAAAGCCTGTTTTTTTGTCTTTGTTAGGAACATGTAACTCCTAAATAGTTACACTAGCTTCATTCAGAAAATCCACCACTCCGGACAGGCAACAGTCTAGGAGAGCATGGTACCTTATCATAAGCGCTCATAAGTGACTTCTGATTGATAATTCCATGTAATTTCATAATCCATACTAAAATATAACAACTCAGAGTGTATTTTCTTGTTGACAATGTGTCAAAAATACCATTACAAAAAGTACTACATATTATTTATAAATTTTTGTCATTTCACATAAAACCAGCAAATTAGATAATTATATATTTCAAAAAACACAAGAAAGCCACAAAGTTGGTCATTTAGAAGAATACAGGTTTTTTTTTTTTTTTTTTTAAAGAAAATGAAGACCAGGGCAGACAAATTTCACTTGAACATAAGGCTAAAATCTTTTCTTTTTCTTACACTTTCGGAACTTTTGGCTATATTCATTTCCTCTCTTGTTTTCTGTGCTACTATCACTGTCACTGGTTTGTTTTTGCCGCTTTCGTTTATTTGTCTGATAAAGATCAGGGTCACTGGGTTGTTGGTGAGTCCGTTCATAAGAGCTGGGTCCAGCCTCCAGATCTGGAACACAATTTAGCGAAGACGACGCAGCTGTACTATTAGGAAATGATGCTGCCATCTCATAGTAAGGAAGCTGGAGGGATGGATTATACGCAGGCCACTGCTGCAGAAAAAAGTCAATCATTACCAAAACAAGCTCAAAATGTTAAAGAAAAAGTTAACAGTTTACACACATTATACAAATAACTACAAGCCAACTAAACCACCTGTTAGGACAGTGACTTTTCTCAACAGAATTGTGATAGTTTCCTATAAGGTCGTGTACAACTTACTACAATACAGATGCTGCCTTACAGAAATGTAATACAATATAATCCAATAACACACAGTTTCATATCTTCTAGTAGCTGCGATACAGAAATAGAAAAGAAATAGATGCCATTAATGACGTATTTTATTTACCTCCAAATATCCCAAATATTGTCATTTCAACATGTAAATAATTAACAGGTAAAAAATTAATGAGATATTTTACTTTCCCGTTTCCATGCTAAGTCTTTGAAATTTGATGTGCATTTATACTTATAGCACATCTCAATTTGGATGCTACATTTTCACTGAAAACACTGGATCTGAATTTAGATTACCAAAAATTTACATCTGAAAAAGCAGATTCACATACTCAAGTTCTTGCAAATATTCTTAAAAATATTCTAATAACTGAACCAAGTTATCTGCTTTTAAATTTTAATAAAAGTTAAAATTAAATAAGACTAAGAACTCAGCTCCTTAGTTTCACATGTGGCTAATGGCCACACTAGGGTATGTAGCATGTTTGTCAACAATTAAGATAGAGAACACCTCTCTTGTTTTTAACTCAAATTTCTAACTATTCAAAGTAGACTAAAGATTCACAGAAACATCATGAACTTGTGTGCATGTGTATGTGTGTGTAAGCGTTTTTCTCATCTCTTTTATGGATAAAAAATGCTGGGAAGAAGGATAATGACAGTTTTGGATAAGAACTGGTTGTTTTTAAATATCTCATTATAACTAAGAAAAAATTTTCCCAAAAGTTAAATTCTCCATTCCTTATGTTTACAAAATGAAAATGGCTATTTGAGAAATCTGAAGCTCACATATATGTTGGATGTTTACAGCAATCACACCCTGAATCACAATACCTGTATTAGAGTCCCATATCTGTCACTAACAACTATATTACGTTGGGCCTATTGATTAACAACCCTGGACCTCAATTTATTATGTATAAAATGAGGAGTTGGAAAAAAAAATTTTTTTTCCTGAAGTTCCCCTTTAACTTATTGTGACTATAATTATGATTTCTAGCCCAGAACCTATTTCTGAGAGTCTTTGGAAATAATGTAATTTACCACTCAGAATCCAAATTAAATTAAATTTAAATTTAAATGAGGACTCTCTACTTACATTTTATTGGACCATGGTACAGCATCATTACCATCTACCCCTTCTGTGTTGACACACTTGCTAAAATACTAGGTGTGCGATTGAAGAGGACTGTGTTAGAGCAGACTGCCTGCCACTGGGGGGACAATGCTCAGGGCAGCTTCTGCCTTCACCTCAAGCTTAGATTTGAGAACCATAGTTCCATCACAGTCTGTATCATATTATATATTGAACCAAAGGCATATCAAACTTACCATCTTCTGAAAGAAAAAATATCCTTGAGGTAAAGCTGCAGTATTTATTGGAAAGAACTGCATGGGAAAGGAAGCTCTGCCCACAACTTCTTCATTTCTTTGGGTAGGTAAAAGAAAAATTAATAAAAAGTTAAAATCCCTACACACAAATGCCCTTTTTCCTTAATAAAAAAGGAAAAACCTCCTTATAATTACAAACCTCTTTAAGACACCTCAGTTAAGATTAACTTTAAACACATACACACAAATAATCAGATATTATGCTGATAATATAGTGACATAAGTAGTATTTTAAGTCTTATTAATTGCTACTTATTGAAATCTCAATATTTAGAGTCACATCTGACTTTCTGACAGGAAAATGTTAAACAATGTTATATGTATATAAAGAAAAAGACACTTAGATATGAAGAGAGCAAAGAAAGCCAAGTCATTAGTAATCACAAAGGGCACAGTCACTTTTCTACAGATATAAAAATTTTCCTTAATTTATTGTTGAAGGTATCTTCACTATTTAACTATAAAAATTATGCTCCTAAGTGGACTGCTAATGTTACCATAAAGTCATGTTTGCAGATTTGTTTCACACATGAATTAAGATAACAAAAATCTCTAATTTAAAAACTGTGGTGAGCTCAATTTTCATTTATAAGTGTAATATTTGCTTCTATGAAGATGTTTAATAAATTCAGGCCACAATTACTAGTTAGATTCTGTAGCTAGCCTTCACTTGCCTACTTTCTCCACAGCATTCCACAATTTTAATGTGAATACTACTAATCCTTAGGAAAGGAGATGTGCTGTGGGAAAGGGTGAAACAGGCAGGTAGAGGCAAAGATGAGGGCAGGTGAACAACAGGGAACCGTCAGATGGATAGGAGATTCCATTTACGAGTGGTGAGAGTAGCATCGCAAAAACCAGCGGAAGAAAAACAAAACAAAACAAAACCAGTGGAAGAGTAAATTTCACTAAGGAAGAAAAAGGAATTAGTATTTGTTGTTATAAAAGAGTAAACTGAATAAGCACTGACGCTACTGAATTATTTTTCAGAAGGTTCCTGATAACCTTTAAAAGGGCATCTTCCATGTACCAATGGGGTTAAGAAGTATGTAGGAAGTAAGAATGTGAAGGATGAAAGATTTTTCAGGGAGAAGAAGGGGAAAAATATTAACTGTCTAATTTGGAGACAAGTTTGGAGGAGACCAGAGGTGTGTGTAGAGTAAGTGACAGTAAAGAAACAAAAAGTGCAAAGAAATCAGAGTGGGGCAGATGTGACCTCAGAAGCAGAACTAGTGAGACGAGCATCATTATGAAAACAGCTGCAGATTCTCTAAAACCATTATCTTTCCATTGTGAATCTTAGGGCATTCATTTAGAGATGAATCACACGTAAAACGGCAAGAGTTATGAGCTTATCTGTATCACTCCAAAATTTCTAAGTTGAAGTCCTAACCCCCAATACTTCAGAATGTGACCTTATTTGGAACCAGGTTGTTGCAGATGTAATTAATTAAGAGGGTCATACTGGTGTAGGATGAGCCACTAATCCGATAGGGCTGTTATCTTTATAAAAAGCGGAAATTTAAAGACTGGGATACACAGAAAAACATCGTATGAAGATGAAAGCAGAGATCTGGGTGATGTATCTATAAGCCAAGGAATATCAAGACTACCAAATAACCAGGAAACACTAAGGCAGAGACTCAGAACATTCTTCCTCATAGCCTTCAGATGGAATGGACTCTATGGACATCTTGACCTTGAACTTTTAGCCTCCAAAACTGTGAGACAACACATTTCTATGGCTTAAGTACCTCTCTGTGATTATGTTACAGTATCCCTAGCAAACTAATACAGGAACCATTTATTAAAATCAGAAGGCATAAAGGCAATAAAGGCATAAAAAAATCCTTTTCCAAGAAAGACCTATGAAAGATTAAAGATACAACATGTACACCATTTTTCTCTGCACCTTGCTTCTGGGACACCATAACCTATTCTCATTCATCCTTTATAATATAACAAATACTAGAAAATAAAGTATTACCAATGAAATGCAGTACTATGGAATATACAATAATTCTGATTTTCTACCCTAGAATTTGTGATGATTTAGTTTGTCAAACATAAGTATAGAATAAGAATTATGACATTTTATAGTGCTTATTTTTCTACCTCTGTCAAACAGATTTCTTCCTAATTCCTGAGAAAAATGAGGTTTGTTTCCTCACTAGTAAAAGAGAAGAGGCTCTCATATATATGGCTCAATTCATGAGTCTATAGTATGTCTCCCATCAACGTGGTAAATCATGCCCTCCTTTTTGGTAATATTGGCTGAAAGTATTACTGAATACCTCCTATGTGCCCAGAATTTTAAATATATTGAATGTATTATAAAATTTGATTCTCATAATAATCTTCAAGGTATTGGGGCACCTGGGTGGCTCAGTGGTTGAGTGTATGTCTGCCTTTGGCTTAGAACATGATTCCAGGGTCCTGGGATCCAGTCCCGCATCAGGCTCCTCACAGGGAGCCTGCTTCTCCCTCTGCCTAGGTCTCTGCCTTTCTCTGTCTCTCATGAATAAATAAATAAAATCTTAAAAAAAAAAAAATCTTCAAGGTATTATCCTTGTTTTAGAGACAGGCTATAGTGTGGTGAAATTACTTGTCCAAGGTCATACCATTAAGAAAGTGGCAGAAGCAAGATTTAAATTCAGGTAATTTGGGCAGCCCTAATGGCTTAGCGGTTTTGCAGTACTTCTCCAATAGATAAGCTTGTGCAATTGCCAGTCCTCGGAGACACTCTCTCATGCCTCAGAGAGATAATTTAGGTTACTGTTAGTCTACATGAGAATATTTGGTTCTGCTGCAGAGGACAAAAACAAAGAAGATGGATAAAATGTTCGTAATAAACTCTAAGTAAGCTAGTAGTTTCTGGGACACTGATGAAACTGTTAGGGACAGAATTAAGCAAATCACTTGGGAGATACAGGCATAATTTATAATATATATTGAATATACATAGTAAATAAGTTAGTGTTAGGTTTTTTTTTTTTTTTTTTAAATGGGTGGAGAAAATTAAAGACAGCAGAGCCAGGCAGTAGGTTCGAGAGTGCTTTAATGGGGAGCGCTCCCGGGCAAGGTTCCGTGACCCAGAGAGGCTCGAGTCCGGGAAGTCGCACCCAGGCAAACCGCAGCGGGGGTTTATAAGGATTTTTCGGCGGGAAGATGGGAGCTGGGTGGCATTCCAGTTAGGGCAAAGGTTACAGGTCTTTGGAAGCTAAATTAGGGTAGGGCGGCAAGGCGGCATCAGTGGGAAGATGGGGGTGGGGCGGCAAGGCGGCGGTATCGGGAGGTTGCTGGCCTCCGGTCAGCCATTTTGAGGTCCCCAGTCTCGCCAGCCCAACAGTTAGTATCCTGTCAGACATGCCACAGATAGATTCAATAGCTAATATGATGGAATATGTAAGAGTGTTACTTAGAGACAAAAAAGGGAAAGAAACACCAAGTCCTCATCATGTCACCCTTGGCTTGCTTGCTCTTCTTGTGTTTGATCTGTCTCAAAAAATAAAATCTGGGTGCATCTGGCAGACTAACCAGGAAGTTACTTCTGTGGTCAGGAATATTGCCCATAAGTCTCTTTGAGAGAGCAAGGGAGTGAGATTAGCTCCAAGAAATTTCCACCTGAATGCCCACCCTTATTAAACCTCAAATCTAGCCTTCATAACCACACTAGCAGTGAGGAAGGCTGATGTGGCAGAGAGAGACATGGCACACAAGTATTAGCATAACCAGAACACAGCATCCTGGTCCTCTGGCCCACTTGTACCCAATTCTAAGTGTGCTAACCTATTCAGGATCTTTCCTGTTGCTTTTCACTGTTTCTTCTAAATTAGTTTAATAAATGGTGTGATTTGAACATTTCAATTCTGTTTCAGAGCCTTTCTGTTCCATGACCTCTGGGACAGTTTGCCTGACAGTGTCCTTAGAGGCTGCTATACCATCAAGAAATGAGCCAATATAAAATTTTAGAATATATGGAAAATTACCATAAAGAAGTTCTAAAGAGTAGTACAATAAATAGCACAATGGCTTAATGTCAGAAGGCTTAATTTGAAGCCTAGCAACTACCACTTTTTCATCTTTATGACCCTGAAAATTAGTTAACTTTGCATCTTTGTTTACTCAAGTATAAGATATGGATAATAGCATCTCTATGATCCATCACAATGACACCTTGGATGCTTAAGTGATTTAACATCTATGAAAAGCACAAGGTAAACCATAAAGAACACTAGAAATATAAATCTCTCCCACCCTACTACTGAAAATATTAAAACTGAACTTTAAATCAAAATATTTTGTCACTTTTCATTGTTTCAGAAAAAAGTGAATTGCCTAATTTTAATCCCATGTCTAAATAGTAAGGTTTTACAATAGTTCAGAATATTTATTTATTTAATTAATTAATTTTTATTTATTTATGATAGGCACACACAGAGAGAGAGAGAGGCAGAGACACAGGCAGAGGGATAAGCAGGCTCCATGCACCGGGAGCCCGACGTGGGATTCGATCCGGGTCTCCAGGATCGCGCCCTGGGCCAAAGGCAGGCACTAAACTGGCTGCGCCACCCAGGGATCCCAGTTCAGAATATATAAAAACTATTTCTTGTAATAAGAACATAGTTATTTGCTTTACTTTTTTGAAAAAATATCTTTAATTACCTGTAGCTGTGTGAATTTATCTTAATACAGTTCTCAAAACTTTGGTTAGCTGGTTCAGAAGAGCGAGAGCTCCCTATAGAAGAAACAGAATAACAGATTACTTAATGGCACAATTTTTTTTGAGTTCTAATGTTAAACCATAAAACACTCCAAACCTTAAAAGATATAGTATTGGTTAAAATTCCTTAGTCATATAAAATGCAAAGATATATTCATATATATCTTTGATCTCACAAGTGATATTTATAGATTGTTTACACTAATACAAATGACTAAATTATAAACCAAGTTTGGCCAAAGTGATGGCTGTACAGACGAATGATATTGACATAAGACCGTAAGACACATGATGTTGTGTTCTTCTACAGACTAACAATGATAAAAATCAATGTTATCTGCATCTTGTGTGGAATGCATGAGTTCTCTAAACTACACTGGCAAAAGTGGATGCGACTTTACAGAGGGGATGCTTAGCAGCTGGCTGGGATGCATCAGAACGTAGTACATCCTGGCCCATTGCACCAGTGTGAGTTAACCAAACAGTACTTGAAAGCATGATATAGCCAATTACCTTTGCAAAGACATTAAAAAAGTAAATAAAAGAAACACAAGGAGAAACCCTTTTCCTTTGCAATGAGGTATTGTTTTCTTATAGTTTTTTTGTATAATGAGAGGAAAAAGAAAAAAACAAGGGAAAAATCAATAAGCTTGAATCATTTAGGGGAGGGAAGCAACGTAAGCATCACAAGCACTGGACCATAACCATAAGCATCACTTCTATCAGCCTCTCATAATATGAAAAGGATAGAGTACTAGGACAATGTCCTCTGGTATCTCATCAGTTTTTGGCAGATGTGTAGGAGAAGGCATTTGAGGTCATTCATGCCTGGAAGCTTTCCTCTACAGTTACTGAGGGTCCCTCTGCAGCTGCTTTTAGTTAGCTGCTCTTGCAGGGGCTTAAATCCAGGGCAGTATGTAGAGCATGGTGTTCCCAGGAGAATGGCTAAGGCACTCACTCCATCTTCTAAATAGCAGGTATTTGATACAACACATTAGCAATGACAAAAAGATTAGCAAATAGCCTTGATGTATAAAACGCTAGAATTGTATGTCCGCAATTCATTTATATTTGCTTAAAACAGCCAAGAGCAACTATTATAACTACTTGCTGGCTGTGGTACTAAGATAGGACATTTTAAATTTTAATACAGAAAAGATGCTATAGGATTAGCAATACTAATTGATAATATAACATTACAAATGTCTACTTGCATTTTAAGAAAACTTAATAGAGATGACAGGAACACTTTTTTGGTCTTACATTATATGGAAAACACAATGTTCACACCTCTGAGAACAGCACCATTAACAAAACACACTCAGAAGATTCATCAGTGGCAAGACTTACCAAATCGATACTGTACATTAATTGGTCTTCCATATAAACGAATTCCATTCAGCAAAGCTATGGCATAAGACACCGATTCAGGATGTTTAAAGCAGACAAATCCAAAAGTCTTCGGTTTTCCTTCTCTGTCTTTGCATATAGTCACTTTGGTTAATGGCCCAGCCTATAAGAAACTTAAAAATTATTTTCTCATAAATCTAAAGATTTTTTTTTACATTCAGATAAATCAAGTATATCAACTTCAGACTTAAGAAAAATCTGTTAACAATAATTGCTTTATGTAGCTATGAGAATAATGCATTTTCCTAACAGCAAATATCATATTTCATTACACTTTCTGGTATTTTTTGACTCTTCAAGGAAATATTCATGGTGTTAACAACAGAAAATTTTAGGTAATAGTTCCAAATCTTAAAAGAAAAAATATGTTACCCTCTAGTTAAGCTTAACAAAAACAATTTTAAGAGCATTTAAATCTAAGAATAAAATACTACATTGTTTCCATACGTATTAACTGTGTATAACTCAAAAATAAACTTTAGTGACAAATCTGATGTTGATTTGAGCCTAAAAAACTGTTATACTGTATCACGGCCTAATTTTTTCCTGTCAAAGTTAAAAATTTTGGTAAGAGAAATTAATTTATCATGTGTTTTGATCTAATAATCCCATTTGGTAAATATTCCCAAAGGAAAAATATTTTATTATGTTTATGACTTTAAGTAGGTATATTATTTATAGGAGTGAAAAATTAGAAAGGTTCTAAATTCAACAACGGGAGAATATTATTCCACTGTGTACTAGTAAAGGAATAAAACAAAAAATTGAAAATATTCAGGTTTATTGATAATATAACCTATAATTTGCAAAAGAGAGTAAAAACGCTGAGTCAGGGCAGCCCAGGTGGCTGAACGGTTTAGCACCGCCTTCAGCCAAGGGCCTGATCCTGGAGACCTGGAATCGAATCCCACATGGGGCTCCCTGCATGGAGTCTGCTTCTCCCTCTGCCTGTGTCTCTGCCTCTCTCTCTCTCTCTGCGTCTCTCATGAATAAATAAATAAAATCTTAAAAAGAGAAAACAAAAAACGTTGAGTCAAATATTGTAAAAAAGTGTTAATTACAACTAAAAAATTGTACCCCCCCATAATGATTACAGAAGGCACTCACAAAGAATTATGAACTAAGATTTAATGGAGAATGGCTCATACTTTTCAATCGTTTACTTTAATGATTACTTTTCTTTGTAGAGTTGTATAAATAAATTAAAAGTAGTTTTTATTCTAAAGAAAAATGTTACTATTGATGTAGGAATGAGTTAGGGACAGATGGGGCTAGGCAGGGAAAGAGAAGGGAAAGGCCCAAAGTCAGGCTCCCATAAATCCCAAGGACACTGAATGGTCCAGAGTCAGGCTCCTACCCATCCCAAGAAAACAGAGGTAAGACAGTAAAAACAGGGGGGAAAAAAAATATACCCAGGCTCCCTAGCTCCAAAATGTTATGTAGTATCCCTCTCTAATGGTTACCAGACAATCGCAGAGATTCACCAGACCCCAAAACAGCCATATGTCAATCACTTGAGACAGCACAAAGACATCTAAAGGCCTTGGGTTCCCTGGTTAGGTTCCCAATAAAAGGCCTGCCAAAAAGCCCTCAGTGGCAATGCTGTCGGGACCCCTTTCCTGAGAGCTTTCTCCGTATCTTTGCTTAATACACTTCTATCGCTTTACTCACTCTTTGTCCACAAGATCCATTCTTTGACTCTGTGAGACAAGAACCAAACTCTCCTGTATCACTATCATCTTTAAAATGATACTCTTAAGATTCAATCTTTTTTCATTTTCTGCTTTCCCAGAGACTAGCTCATTCTCCATTCTGGCTTCAAGGACCACTTCCTCAAGACAACTATTTTTTACACTCATGCCTCCTAAGATACCTCTGTGTGACTGTTCTTCAAACTCAACATATTTGAAATTGAATTCATCATCTTTCTCCTCCAAATCTGTACTTCAGTACTTCTTAGTCAAAAGTACAAAGATATTAAACCTGATTTTCTCACTTCCAAGGGATAATCAGAAATTTAAAAGAAACTAGTAAAAGGATAAATATATACAATAAAACTAATTTTAATCAGTACTGTTCTATTAAATGTATGAAATCACAAACAGAATATGCTTTAAATATGTTTTGAATTTTACAAATCTGAAGATATACCAAAGCATTTATTTTTTTTTTTAAAGATTGTATTTATTTATTTACGAGAGATACAGCGAGAGAGAGAGAGAGAGAGAGAGAGAGAGAGAGAGAGAGAGAGGCAGAGACCCAGGCAAAGGGAGAAGCAGGCTCCATGCGGGGAGCCCAGAGTAGGATTCGATCCTGGGACTCCAGGATCAACGCCCTGAGCCGAAGGCAGGCGCTAAACTGCTGAGCCACCCAGGCGTCCCACACCAAGGCATTTCTAAAAATAAAAATTTCAACAAGACTTGTTTGCAGTAACAATCTCATCATCTTTTAGTCTTTTTTGAAGACCAAGTTCACGTGTTTTAAAAAGCCTTTCTAAAGGACACCTCACTTTAGCAAATCCTTCCAGAATACAGAAGGATCTAGGCAAAAATAAAAACATATGCTTGGCTGCCTGATCTATTAAAAAATGAACATTTTCTTTAGGTAGAAATTATTTAAAAAATGAGAAGATTTTGGGACACCTGGGTGGTTCAGTGGTTGAGTGTCTGCCTTTGGCTCAGGATGTGATCCTGGACTCCCAGGATCAAGACCTGCATCTGAGTCCTGCATGGAGCCTGCTTCTTTCTCCCTCTGCCTATGTCTCTGCCTCTCATGAATAAATAATGAATAAATAAAATCTTTAAGAAAAAAGAGAGAAGATTATACATATATGTATTATATATATATAACATCTATCTACCTATGTATCTTGTAGATCCATGCAGCTGGTATCAATCCAATTCCTACTGACTAGAAATAACGTAAGTAAGGCCTTGGGGCCTGTGTGCCTATCCCCAACCTCCTCACCAGTTCCTCTCCGTTTTTGGAGGTTCGTCCATGAGAGAAACCTTCAGGGGAAAAAGAACTATAAAGTTTTTTCTTTCTTTCTGTTTTCCTTTTTTTTTTCTTTACATTTTTTTGGTGTTAGAAGTGATAAGTTTCATATGATATTGGGGGAAATAACTATAGGAAAGACAACTATCAGAGCAGATTAAAAAGGCCAAGTCACGAAAAAAAAAAAAAAAAAAAGGCAAATTAGGGGCAGCCCTGGTGGCTCAGCAGTTTAGCGCCGCCTTTAGCCCAGGGCCTGATCCTGGAGACCCGGGATCGAGTCCCACGTCGGGCTCCTGGTCATGGAGCCTGCTTCTCCCTCTGCCTGTGTCTCTGCCTCTCTCTCTCTCTCTCTGTGTGACTATCATAAATAAAAAAAATAAAAACTTAAAAAAAATTTTTTATGTTCAGCATCTCACTTTGGGTTTGCCACGTAACGGTCAGATGGCTGGCTGGAGGAGTCCATCGCTTTCGAAGGGACACCTTGGTGTATACAAAGGTGAGCGTTTACAGGAGACAGGAGGCTTACTCATGGAGGTCCGGAGTCTCGAAAAGTTTCCAAAAGGTCCTCTTGGTATGAAATACAGGGAACTGCCCAGGGAATCCATTGGTCCTAGTCATGATGCGGCTGTCTGAATCGTTAAATCGCACTTATCCTGGAGCAAAGACGCCCACCACAGGAATGGGCTTGGGGGTGGGGTGGGGACAAGTGATGTACAGGGCAACACTTTACCGTCTATACAATCAGCTGGCTGGATGGAAGGCGTGAGCGTGCTAGTTACCCGAAGGAGGGCAGCGACAGAGCGGTTTCCTTTTTGCCGGAGACACCCAAGGCCCAGGGAGCCTCCGCGAAGCCCTTACTCAGGGCTGGGGGCTGGGGGAGCCACGACGGCGCTCCCCCCCACCCCCCAGGGCTCGACAGTGCGCTCCGGGATGGGGCGCATATTACATCACTTCACCACCAGCTGCTCACCTAGGGCAGGCGAGCCTAAACGGAACTAAATGATAAACCTAGGCACAGAATGGGGGGCAGGGAGGACGGGGCCGCGCTCCGGAGGGTCCAGGTGCGCCGCGCCCCGCCCCGCGGGCTGCGCTTCCGGCTCGACGCTCCCCGCTCGGCCGCCGCTCCCCGCCCGTCCGCCGCCCCCCGCCCACGATACCTGAAGGAACAGCTCGTAAAGAATCTCTTCCCGAACTCGGGCCTCTAAATTCCCCACAAACACCGTCCTGTCGGCCTCCTCCTGAGGCGGGAACATCCCTCCGGTCTCCGCCAAGGATGGAGGAGGCCTCCAGACCGCGCCCCCTCTCGTCGCTTCTCTGCGCCGCTCGGACCGGGGGAGCGGGGCCGGCGACGTGAGCGCGCGCGCCGGGGGCGGGGCGAAGCCGTGAGGCCACGCCCCCGCACCCCTGGGCCCCGCCCACCGCCCACCGCCCACAGCCCCGCCACAGTTCGGGTCCCCGCGGCGACCCTAGGACAGCGAGGGAGGGTGGCAAGATCACCGCGTTCCGGGCTTTGCCCTTCTTCTCGTGGATTTGCCTTCCATCCTCCTAGCCACAGCACTATTAATTGACTCTGGATTTATTCAATCAACATTTTCAGTAAAATGTCTGTAGAGATGCTTTTAAGGTTTACTAGCTGCAGCACTGGAGCTTGCAGGCTAATAGGGGAAGGTTTGTTTGCAAAGAGTGAATGAGTAAATCCTCAGGAGTTTGGGTTTATATTCTGTATGAAGTACTTTGTAAAAAAAGAAAAAAAAATCCATGCATGCATGGGTGTGGATGTGAAGTACAGTAGAGTCCTAGAGTTAAAGTGTATTTACCTCGGAAGCGCGTCCTAGAGGAGTCTTTGAAAACGGGCACGAAGTTTTAGGTGGGCCTGGAAGGCATCTGCAGACTTTGAGAAAAGAGCCTCCACAGAGGAACACTACTAAGGGTATAGCAACTTCTGGGACTGAAGCCAGACTTTTTGAGGATGGCTGCAGGGTGATGAAGTCTTGGAACATAGGTGAGATCCGGAGCCCACGACCATTAAAGAATTCTTTTTTTTTTTTTTAAAGATTTATTTATTTATTTCTGATAGACACACACAGAGAGAGAGGCAGAGACACAGGCAGAGGGAGAAGCAGGCTCCATGCAGGGAGCCCGACGTGGGACTCGATCCCGGGGCTCCAGGATCGCGCCCCCCGCCAAAGGCAGGCGCTAAACCATTAAGCCACCCAGGGATCCCCCATTAAAGAATTCTTAGGCGTCTTGGTGCAAAATGGGGGTTTTATTAAAGCCCCAGACAGGACCCGCGGGCTGGAAGAGCTGCTGCCCCGCCGGTGAGGGGAGGCGGTGGGGAGGGGTTCGCGGAGAGTGTCCTCTCTAAGGAATTGTGAAAGCAAGGTTTCCAGGACCTTGAGGGGGCCAGCTGTTGTTGGGAAAAGGTCACTTATTACCCGCCAAGGAAACCTGAGTTCTGAGACCCTTCAGAGTGTGTGGGTGGGCCATGTGCTTGGAGGATGCTTGCCAATAGGATCTTGGGGCTTTAGAGATAAAGGAAATTTCTAAAGGAATTTTTATGCGTTGAAGTAGACTTAAGGGATCCTGGGGGTGGGGCCAGATTGCCTTTTGCCCTTAGCAAAGTATTAACATAAAAGCCGTTGAATCCTTAGAGGAACATTCCTCTGCCTGTTTCAAGGACTTGTCAACTTGCCGTCTCGGGCTCCTGCTTTGTCCTCTGCTAGTCCTCCATACCCCCATCACAGGGCACTTGTAGCCGGATCCAATGTCTGTGTCAGGGCTGTACTTTGTATACAGTGACCAGGGTGAAGAATTAATTCTTACTTGAGAAGGAGTTAGGGGGAAAAAATCCTAAAAAAAAAAAAAAAAAAAAATGCAGATAAGAAAAAAAAAGGGAAAAGAAAACCAGCTCAGAATCTCAATAAATTGATAAATCAACTGCCAACTGTTAATATGGCTTCCTTTCTGAAGAATCCATAGATCTATGAAAGACCCTAAAAGTACCCTTAAATATACAAGTAATCAGGACAACGTTGAGCTTTTAGTTAGGAGCGGGGTTAATTCATTTTGCATTGAGGGAGCCTGAGTTTACTTGGTTGGTGGACCAAAAAAAAAGTCCCATCTTTTCTAATGAAAAAGAACACATCTCTGGAATCCTGATTTCTATTTTAACTCTGACATGATTTAATTTTATGATTTTAAATAAGTAATTTCAGTTTTTGGAATTCAACTTCTAGCTGTTAAGAAATGGATTGGGCTAATGTAATTACAATACTTCATTTAGTAGATTTTTTTTATTAATAGATACGTTTTTAATGCTTACTATGTTCCAGACGCTGTCTTTAATTCTTGGGAACCAAAATTTAAGAATAAAGATTGTGGAGGCCAAGAAAAATTAAGGCCATCCCACCTAAAGTTTAGCATTAGCCATCTTAGGCCCCTGTGAATAAGAGCTGAACTTTATGGGAAAAACTGCAGAATGTCCCCAATGTCCTCAGCAGGTAATCCCATATCAGAAAGACAACAGAGCCCACGCACGCCCTGGTAGAAAGTCCCATATTAGAATGAGAACAGAGCTCAATGCCCTTAAGCCCCATATCAGAATGTAACTTGAGAAATTCTTCCACCCCTTCTGAAAATCCCCTAGACCAGCCTATAAAAAACCCAGCTGTAACCCACTTTGGGGTCCAAGTCCCTCCTCTGCTGTGTCAGGTATACATGGGCCCAAGCTCGAGCTTGCTAATAAATCCTCGTGTGCTTGCATTGGTGTAGGCTCCTTGGTGGTTTCTCAGATTCGCAATCTTGGACACAACAAAGATCTGTTCTCCTGAATCTTTCAGTGTAATGAGAGAGACAGGCTTCCTATACAAATGCATAACAAAATCCTGTGTCAGCTTCAATAGTCACCTTCTGTTCATATTATAAATAGATAAATCCTTTCTCCATTTTTCCTTTCTTCAGTCATCAACATTGTTGTAGTAGGGTAGGAGGGGGTTAAGGACGCTAGCACATTGTAGTTATATAGCAAATATATGCTCATAAAATGAATGGATACCTGAAGATCTCAATTATGTGTAATACTATTGATTTTTAAAATTCATTTCTCATAAATCTTATCCAAATGAACATTAATTCTTTAATGTCCTCTCAGTCAGCTGCTCTGGGACTTGGATCTTCTTGTTTCACTGTAAAGTTTGTAGTGCATATATATGATTGTAAATGATAGAAACCTTTAGCTATATTTATAAATAACAATCATGTTGTCTTGCTGATACAGGGGAGCTTGATTCATGTCTCATGGAGTCGAAGAATTAATCTCGGACACAGGAGAGTGAGTAAAGTGATAGAAGTTTATCAAGCAGAGATACAGAGAAAGCTCTCAGAAGGGAGAGGGGTCCTGACAGTGTTGCGACTGAGGGCTTTTTGGCTGGCCTTTTACTGGGAACCTAACCAGGGAACCCAAAGCCTTTAGATGTCTTTGTGCTGTCTCAAGTGATTGACATATGGCTGTTTTGGGGTCTGGTGAATTTCTGGGATTGTTTGGTAATTGTCAAAGGGTGATACTTCAGAGCTAGGGAGCCTAATTTATTTTCTTCTGTTTTTACTGTCTTATCTGTTTTCTTGGGATAGGTAGGAGCCTCACTCTGGACCATTCAGTGTCCTTGGGATTTATAGGAGCCTGACTCTGGGCCTTTCCCTTATCTTTCTCTGCCTAGCCCCATCAACAACTAACTCATACTTCCATCATTGCTATATTGAAGTTTGCATCATACTTTTTTTTTTTTTTTTTTTTTTTACAAATGTAGATGATTTTGGTGTTCTTATTACAACCTCTTTTTTTGGCAGCACTTGAGTTTATGGTGCTTTTATTTCTAGGATACTTTTTTTTTAATGTTATAAGCTCTGAAAGTCAGCTCATGCAGTTAGCTGTTTATTCAGCATTTGACCTAAATATATATCATTTTTCTAATTAAGCTTACTGTATTTCCTAACTTATTTTGAATGAACACACCGTAATAACCTAGCAGTGATGGGGAACAGGGCTAGCTGAGAACAAAGCACAGCTGATATCCCACAGATGACCCCCATCTGGGTGGAATATGTGTGACATTCCTCAGGAGGCTTCCAATTGTCTTAATGCCTTGCTAGAAGGTAAAGCAATCTTTAACTTGACAATGGCAAGGCCTCCATTATCTTGTAGGTCCTCTTTAGCATATGAAAATCCTTTTGAAATCTCCTTTTTCCTTATCTCCCCCAACTCCCAGATATATAATCAGCCACTCCTCTCACAGGCCAGGGACAGCACCTCTTCCTGCCCACAGGTCCTGTCCCCGTGCTTTTTTTTTTTCTGTAATTTTTTTTATTGGAGTTTGATTTGCCAATTTATAGTATAATACTCAATGCTAATACCATTAAGTACCCCCCTCAGTGCCCATCACCCAGTAACCCCATCTCTCTGCCCACCTCCCCATTCACTACCCCTTGCTTGTTTTCCCGTGCTTTAATAAAACCACCATTTTGCACCAAAGACGTCTCAAGAATTCCTTCTTGGTCGTCGGCTCTTCTTGGTCATCGGCTCCAGACCTCACCTATATTCCAAAACTTTAACGGTAACTAAAAAATAATTTATTCTTAGCATTTCCTGAACCATTAGTCAAATATTAGATTTAGTGGGTTAAATGTGCAGAACACTATTAAAGAATTAGCTTTTCTTCACTCATGTCAGGATGTTCTATATTCCTAACAATGTATTCAAAAATGAAAATGTTTATATATATATATAGAATATATGTAAAACTATAAGCTATGTATATAAATAAATCTAACTATCTAAAACTAGAGCTTTTTTCTCCCTTTATTTCTCCCTTTCTTTGCCCAACTGCACCTGGATTAGCTGACTGCCCAGATGTGTGGTGCCATAGTTCCATAGTCATACACCTTTCTCAAGCTCTCCTCATTGTGAATTGCTATAGGGTGAATATATTGCAATACTAGGACAATCCGTAACATCTGTGGTGTGTCATAAATAGTTGTTGACATAATGCAGTTTGAAAAAATGAACATCTCTACTTTGTATGTCCAACTACATTATGCCTGGAAATCAGTACATGCTTCATAAAAGCTACACGGATGAATGAATGAATGAATGGAGAAACTTGATAAATTAGTATTAAGGGACTCTAGAGATGCTTTTTCTAAAATAGGCCTCACTTTTGTCTTCACTTTTTTTTCTCTACCCTCAGTTTTCCTTTATTCTGATTCTCCTAACCATATTTTTTCTAAATAAATATAGCTTTTTTTTACTTGTAT